TTATGAGATTCTGTGCTTTCAATAAAACTCATATATCTAGAGTTATTAATTTCTCATTTTATCCGGCCCGTTGAAAGTGCTGAATTACCTAATGTGGCCCGCGTTTCGAAAAGTTTGGAGACCCCTGGTTTAAGGGAACCAGAAATTCCTAAGTTGGGAGGCCATGGCCTGCATTGAACTTCCTCACAAAATCAGTCTCTTTCTGAGAACGAGACTTGAGGCTCTCTTGCCGGTGAATATTAAGATTACGGTATTGTGCAATGTGACGCCGTATAATCGTGTAGATACCGTCACGTAGGACTATATTTAGAGCAGAAGAGACGATGGATGCAGGAGGTTCCTCAGAATCGTCGGTAGGTATCTACAAAACTACAAAGCGCCATATGCCAGAAAGCTCACCTTTATTGACAGAGATGTGATCGGGAGCAACTGTTTGCTTTCTGCTTCCTGTCCTGCTACATAAGCATTTCAGTCGTATTGACAGACATGTAAGAAACACGTGATGTGTATGATGCAAGTATAAAATGTGCCACTTTGAATCCTGTAATTCACATAAATAATAAAATTTAAAAATTCTGTTCCTATGAAACCGAAGCATAACGCATGTACTGCACCAAGACCAGCTACTGAATGCTTTCTTTAATCTGAGAATCATGCGAAACATCTCAGTACGCTATGTGAGCAGACGGTATACAAAATTACCAGTAAGGTAAAGGTAAAGTTGCCCCTGTGCTCAACTAATTAGGCACTACGCCATGAAGGCGTATGGGGGAGTGGATATATAGATCCACATTTTCTTGACCTCGGCATTAGCTGGAGGTGAGTGATCAGCTTTACGCCCCCTGCTGCTTTACACCCGGTACCCATTGGATAGGAGACTGCGTGGACCACAGCCGGTTTGGACGACGTGGAGAAAAGAAAAATTCTTGACCGCACCGGGACTCGAACTCCTACCTCTTGGTCGTCCAGCCCGTAACTGGTCGCTATAACTACCAACTACGCTTTTCCTACTCACCCATAATTAGCAGAGTGCTTTAAAATTTAAAAGGAACATTAGAGTAACACTTAAAACACTGTAAATCTTCAGAGAATTTGTGCTGCCTTATCTACACATTACAGATAGACGCACTGTCTCAGTCGATTTAGCGAAGGGTTACGGGGTGTACGGCCAGGATTCGATCACCGGCAGTGTCAAGGAATTTTTCTCATCTCCGCAGCGTCCAGACCGATTCAGGGGCCCACCCAGCCTTCCATCCAATGGGCACTGGGAGTAAAGCGGGAAAGGCGTGAAGCTGACCACTCACCTTCATCTAGCGCTGAAGTGGAGCCATACATCCACTCCCCCATTCGTCTTCATGGCGTAGTGGATAATTAACTAATCACAGAGACCACTTTACAGATTACATAACATGTTGTTTGCCGCATTAATAAGAGTTATTATGCAAATAAAAGCAAGCAGAATGGAAACTCCCCTACACAGTACAGTGTAACCCAGTGAGCAGTGGATTTGAACACTGAACTGTGAAAAGTCTTTAATAAAGAAAATTTAACTCTGATATTGTTCAATTTGGGATTATTGAACTTGAGTATTTAAGCATACTGTTGCAGTAATATATCATTTATTTAACATATATTTCAACCTTAAATGCAATGTATTATATAGTCATCCTTCCACATTACATGGCTCAGCTGTATACGGCCATCATCAGGTGTCTTCTGTCTTGCTAACATTGTTGCACTGTATGTCAAAATTTCGTATCGCGTGCGAACGCGATATTTCCTGATTAAAATAAATTGACCTTAATGAAAACGTTTTAATTAACCTCCCAATATTTTCCTTATGGTCGTCGTCCTCTCTTCTCACGCCGTCTCAACCGGTCTCAACTACCGCCATATTATGGCAGGATCAGTATTGTTATCTTCCATTGCAGAAGGTAAGTGCACGAAATTAAAAAAGTACAATCACGCCTTGCGTCGGACGAACATACGCGCTTAAGATGATGTGAGCAACTAATCGAATATCAATTTCCTGAGTGTGCGCCTGCCAATCTGGAAACCAGTTGCTTGCTTGAAATGAGCGACATTTCTCAGAAATCGCGATTGCGTTGCGGTTGCCAGTTTCCTTGGCATACCCTCTACCTTAGAATCTTCGGAAGTTTCTATTCTTATGTCACGTTCCTTACATAGATGGCGCAGCTGTTGTAAACCGGGACTTGTGTTAATTTGTGTTACCAGCAGGGCTTGAGGTGGGGCGGGATGCGGTGGGATGGCATCCCGGTTCTTTTCTAAATGGCTTAAAAGCATCCCGTTACTTCTTTGGCAGTAAATGCAATGTACAATACCGTTTTTGCTAAAAGGGGAAAACCATCCCGGTTCTATTTTCATTCCACCTCAAGCACTGGATACCAGTTAATATTTTAGTTACAATTTCATATTCTCACATTCTAATTTATTCTGCTGTTATACGTAGGAGGAAATCCGAACTGCCTTAGCTAGGTGTGCCAGTCGCCTTGGTACGTTGATGATGCAACTATGCTGACAGGGAGTGCCATCTGCGGTACTTCCTCTGAACTTGCTGACATAGTGGGCGTGCTGCGTCATTGCTCGTCATTGATGACAGTGAGATATAAATTTTTTCTTACTCTTTCCACCCCAGTGACTTGGCGTTTCTTAAGCGGTGAACAGTTCGAATCCCGGCCAGGACACAGACTATTTTTATGAGTTTTTCCAAGGTTTTCCTTTGTACGACCAGACAAATTTCGGGACACCGCCTCAAATTAGGACAAGACGGATTCCTTTCTTATCCTTTCCTATGATTCGTTGTCCTTTTTTTCGACACTATATCCCATAGTCAAACTATGGTCCCCGGACCACAAGTGGTCCTTGAGGTGTGCCCTTGTGGTCCTTCAAAAAAGACAGAAGAAAAAATAAAATTAAAATGAATTGCGTATCACACTATAGCTGAAAGTCTCAGAGTTTGGAAATTACACATGGCAACTGTCTTTCACTTTTTCTCCCAGTACTGACATGTTATGAAATTTATTACCCGCCTAGCGACAACCCACTCTACTCTCAGCAACAAAAGCGGGATTTAAAGCACTGTGACCGTGGTGCCTCTCGCCGTCTTTCTCTGTACAGCTGGCGCCCCGCCGCGCCTCTAACCCAGCCAGGGACCACCCTAATTCATAACAGAGGACCAAAGTACCGAACCTTCTTTTCATGTATTTATGACTTTATAATAGTTTTGCAAACACCCAGTCTGAGCTATCTGCACATTGTAATGGTCACGTACGTTGTACACCAATAATAAAACGTGCCAAATTCCTTCTTTACTTGTTGAAAATCGGGCATGTTCCTGAATTATTTTTTTTTTAATTTTTGTTTTTCCAGATGACGATATGAGAAAATTTAGACTCCGCCTGTTCAAAATCCGGGCGAATCATATCCAGAAATTCAAATTACAATAAGAAGAAAGCAGTCTTCTGGGATTTTGCACCGTGTATATGTGGTGTTAACCGACGTTTCGGAGGAACGTATCGCCTCCATCTTCAGGGTAGAAGAAAAAATATATAAGAAATCTGCAAGCAAAGAGACCGTGAGAACCGGTAAAAGCAGACTGGAAAAATACCCAGCTAAGTCATAGTCACCGCCGTGAAAGCCTCAAATCTTACAAATTACAATACTTTTCTAACTCTATTTTTGTAGCCAATCACAAGTAATTTATAACAATGAAGAAAGCAGTCTTCTGGGATTTGGCACCGTGTATATGTGGTGTTAACCGACGTTTCGGAGGAACGTATCGCCTCCATCTTCAGGGTAGAGGAAAAAATATAAGAAATCTGCAAGCGAAGAGACCGTGAGAACCGGTAAAAGCAGACCCGCGAAATTGAAACGGCACTTAGAGACGAAACACGCAAGTGTAAAAAGCAAACCTGTCCAATTTTTTCAACGATGTGTTGAGAAAATGAATAAAGAAATGAAAGTTGTTTTTAATGTAGGTTCGGCAACTAAGAAGGCCTTGGAAACTTCCTATATTACAAGTCTTCATATCGCGAAGAGCGGCTCACCTCATTCTATAGGTGAGACCTTAATACTTCCAGTTGCAAAGATTGATTTAATACAACTCTCAAACGATACAGTTACACGCCGAATCAATGACATGGCTAATAACGTAGAATCTNCCTGATGTTACCTGGACCCGTTGTTTCATTCACAGGGAAGCCTTGGCGGCCAAAGATATGTCATCTAAATTAAAAACCGTGTTAGAAGAGAGCATTAAGACAAGGCCTCTGAATAGAAGAATATTTTCATTACTTGGCGAAGACATGGGTAGCGAGCACAAACAGCTGCTTCATCCTGAAGTTCGCTGGCTTTCACGGTGTAAGGTACTCACAAGGCCCTTTGAATTAAGACAGCAAGTCCTGTTACTTGTAAACGAAATTAACGAAATTTTACGCCATTTCTTGCTGATGACTGGGCTAAGTATATTGGCATATCTTTCAGATGTATCCTCAAAACTAAACGAACTAAATCTCTCTCTACAAGGTAATTTTTTTACTGTTCTCAGTGCCCATGATAAAATAAAGGGGTTTGAAAGGAAACTTGGTTTGTGGGTCAGTTGTGTAAAACAGAGGAATTTTTCACCATTTCCAACTCTAGAGTCTTTTTTAGTTGAAAATTATCTCGTTATTGAAAAAGAAATATGCAATGACATCTCGAAACTCTGAGATCACAATTTGAAACTTATTTTCCAAGTAAATATGACGAATTTTCATGGGTTTGTGATCCTTTCCATTGCAATATTGAAAATAACAAACTTTCATTGAATGAAGGAGAACAGTTAATTGAACTCTCAAATGACACCGGACTTCAAATGAAATTCCAAGCAGACGGTACGGTTAATTTCTGGCCCTCATCACAA